CTCTCTCCTCTCTCGCTCTCTGTATATATATATATATATATATATACTTGATGTGTCGGCTCTCTAGGTGAACTGGTACAAGGACGACGTGCAGTTGGACTTCGTCAATCCGGCGAACAGCCGCTACACCTTCGTCAACTCCGACCGCTTCACGTCCGGCGACCACGCAATCCGTATCACGGACGCCGTCGCCGCCGAAGACGTCGCCATGTTCCACTGCGGCGTCACGGCGACGTCATTCGCCGAAGTGGTGTCGCAGAAGGCGTCGCTAACAGTGTACGGTAGGTGCGGGCGGGGACAGGGTAAGCACAGACGCACACGCACGCACGCACGCACGCACGCACGCACGCACGTACGCAGATGTGGTTGAACGAACGAACGCACGCACGAGCGCATACACGCAGGTATGGTTGAACGAATGCACGCACGCACGCACGCACGCACATCTCTCTTAATCATCGTGCTCATTATCCCACGGTGCAAACACCCGCAATCGACAACAGCAGCAGCAACAGCAGCATCAACAACAACAACAACAACAACTACAACAACAACAACAACAACTCACTCGCCTGCTCGCTCACTCACTCACTCACTCACCCCCTCCCTCCATCCCTCACTCACTCGCCTCTTCACTTGCTCGCTCGCTCACTCACTCACTCACCTCACATCACATCCGTCACTCACTACCACTCACTCACACCCTCCCTCCATCCTCAGCTCTCGCCTCTTCACCGTTGCCAGCTCGCTCACTCGCCTCCTCCTCGCCACGAACTCACTCACTACATCACTTCTGGTCCACGCTCCTCTTCACTCACGTTCACTCTCACTCACTGCTCACGGTCGCCTCCCCTGGCATCGACGCTCGCTCGCGTCACTCGCCTGCGCCTCGCCTCGCTCACTAACTCACTCACTCACTCACCCGCTCCCTCCCTCACTCTCGCACTCACTCCATCTCCCGCACTCACTCCGCTGCCCGTCTCACTGTCACTCACTCACTCACGTCACCATTCACCTTCACCTCACTCACATCACCAGCTCACTGTCTCGCTCACCTCACGTCACTCACTCACTCACATCACTCACCACGTTATTATGCGGGGCACACTCACTCACTGCACTCATCACTTCACTCACTCACTCACTCACTCACTCACTCACTCACTCACTCACTGCTTGTCGCCAATTCTTGGAACTAGTACACTAACAATACCCATCCAATGTTCGGAAGATTTATTTTCACTCTTATTTTCTCCAAACTAGTTGCGACGACGATGGAGGCAACAACAGAGGTGATGACGACGATGATGATGATGAGTACGGGCCGAGGAGGCGGCGGGGATGGATCCTGGAGTCCGTGGGTTCCCGGACTGGACAAGTGCTGCGGAGGACCGGACCTAGTGCGCACGCGCGACTGTCTTCCTCTCGGTTCTACTTGCGTGTGAGTATTGTAGGGAAGGAGGAGGGGGAGGAGGAGGAGTGTGGTGTGTGTGTGTGTGTGGAGGAGGGGCGGAGGAGTGAGGGGGGAGGAGGAGGAGGGTTGTGGCGTGCGTGTGTGCACAGTGAAAGAGTATGAAAGAGATATAATAGGGAGTTTGAGAGAGAGAGAGAAGAGAGAGAGAGAGAGCGACGGAGAGAGAAGAGAGAGAGAGCAGCAGCGAGACGAGACGCAGCGAGAGAGAGAGAGAGAGAGAGAGAGAGAGAGAGAGAGAGACGAGAGAGAGAGAGAGCGAGAGAGCGAAAGAGAGAGACGAGAGAGCCGAGAGAGCGAGAGGAGAGAGCGACGAGAGCGAGAGAGAGCGACAAGAGAGAGAGAGAGAGAGAGAGAGAGAGAGAGTTAGAGAGAGAGAGCGAGAAGAGCGAGAGCAAGCGAAGAGAGAGAGAGAGCAGAGAGAGATGAGCGAGAGAGCGTGAGAGCGAAAGAGAGATGAGAGAGAGCAGGAGAGAGAGAAAGAGAGCAAGATAGAGAAGTGGAGAGAGAGAGAGAGAGAGAGAGAGAGAGAGAGCGCGAGAGAGAAGAGAGAGAGAGAGGAAAGAGAGAGACGAGAGAGCGAGAGAGAGAGAGAGAGATGAAGGAGAGAGAGAGAGGAAGAGAGAGAGAGGCGATAAGAGAGCGAAGAGAACGAGAGAAGAGAGAAGAGAGAGGACGAGAAGAGAGGAGACACGAGAGAGAGAGAGAGAGAGAGAGAGGAGAGAGAGAGAAAGAGAGACAGAACGAGAGAAGAGGAGAGTCGGAGAGAGAGAGAGAGGAGAGAAGAGAGAGAGAGAGCGAGAGAGAGAGAGAGCGAGAATGAGAGAGGAGAGAGAGAGCAGAGGAGAGGAGAGAGAGCGAGAGAGAGAGAGAAAGACGAGAGGAGAGAGAGAGAGAGAGAGAGAGAGAGAGAGAGGAGGAAGAGCGACGAGACGAGAGAGAGAGAGAGAGAGAGAAAAAGGGGAGAGAGAGAGGGGAGATTCACCATTTTCACATTATACGATCTTTCTCATACAGAGGTGAAAGTACAGAGACTCTGACCTGCACAGCTCTGTGCGTAACGAAGGGAGAAATTCCGAAATTCAAAAAATGCAAAGTGCGAAAGACCAATAACAAAATCCTGTACGTACACGCCGACTGACGCGTGCATCAGGAACGCTGCTCCGCTCTAGCGAACAGTATTCATCGAGTAGCAAGTTGTATCTTCTTTCACGCGGATTTTTTGTGTCCCACTTCGAATAGAGATGTTATTATACATATATATATATGTGCGTGTGCGTGTGCGTGTGCGTGTGTGCGTGCGTGTGTGTATTATATGTGATAGGTAATTGTCGGTAAAGATCTGATACCTCGAGATCGAGATTTCGCATCGGGATTGGGGGGTTGGGGGGTTGGGGGGTTCGGATACCTCGAGAGGAGAGCGTGAGTACAGCGCCACCTCGCGAGTGGGTAGGTTTACGTCGTCTGCGCGGGCTCGTGACGTTTTGTAACTGATGCGCTCTTGTTTTGCTTTCCAGCACCGCGAAGTTCTGTCGGCAATTCTGCATGAGAGGCTACGTGTATGATATCGCGACAGGAAAATGTATGGACCTTACCCCCTGAGAACCACCAGCCCGACGAACGAGCCAACTGATCACTATCAGTTATAAAAATAATAAGCAAA